CAGCGCCGAGCCCCCGCCCCGCCCCGCCCCGCCCCCGCCGGCCCGACGGGAGGGGCTCGGGGGGGAGCCGCTCGCGCCCTTTCCCAGGCACCTTCCCGGTCCTCGGCGGCAGATGCGGGAGGGCGAGGCAGTTTCTCCCGCACTTTCTAAATAGGGAAACTGAGGCCCTGAGGATGGTCGCTAGAACCCAGGCCCTGCGTCGCGCTGGGAGCCGGCTCCCCACCCCTGCAGCGCTTCCCCTCCCAATGCTTTGCATTGCTTGCTCATGCCCACTCAGCCTTTAAGTCACGACTGAAATGTCACCTCCTCAACGTGTCTTCCTCGACATCTTCCCCCTCTCCTGTTGGCCTTGGCGTAATTACAGATTTGTGTGACTCTTTGATTAAAGTCTGCCCCGGCCCTAGACCCAAGGCTCCCTGAGGTCACACTGCGTCTTGTTTCCTCCCACTACATCCCCTGGGCCTGGCGTAGGTGATGGATAAACGTTGGCTGTAGACTGAATGTTGAACAGGCCTTTCTCCTTAAAGGCTCAGGCTGGGAACCCGGGGCTTCAGTCCGGGTGAGGGCAGAGCATGCTGCAGGGGTAACTGGGAGGCCAGGAATGGAGGTTGAGCTTCTGAGTGAGCACTGGGTTCAAATCCTGTCACTGGCAATAACTCAACCCGTCCAGCCTCCATTTACCCTCTGTGGACTACACCAGCCCGGGGCCTGCCCTGCCCTCCAGCCAGGAATTATCCCAGACTCAGGATCAGGCTGTTTCCCAAATCCTGCCCCCACCGCTCCTGCCTTTGGCCCCTCCCACCTCGTCTTCCATTCACCAATCCTCAGGCATGCCTCACATGCCCTAAAATGCTGGAGGTGTGTTCATGCTCAGGAGGGGCTGGCTGGGGATCTCTCTGGAGACTAGAGGAAATGCCTTTCATTTCCCCTGGGGATCAAAGAAAAGGTCAATTGTCAGGCTTTGGTCAAAGTGAACTGGCCAGCTAGGTCTGCCTGCCAGAAAGAGGGGGTATCATGGATGAACAGACAGCAGGTTCACAGGAAAGGGAGTCAACCTCATGGAGACTCCCTGAGATTCCAATTCTGGAGGTTTGGGGGGTGGCCTGGACTTGGGGTGCATTTCTTAAGCTCCAAGGCAATTTGCTTCCATAGCCAAGGGTGAAGGGCTCCCCTTCTCCTAGGCTCCTATGTTTCCAAAAGTTTGGACTTGGAACCCAATGAATCAGAACGCTGGAGGTGAGGCCCAGGAACCTGCACTTCTGATACCTTCCCCCCGCCCCCCCTCCTGTTTGAGAATCCCCTTGGTATTCCATGCCTCTTTCAATCCTCACATCCACACTAAGAGAAAGGTTCTATTATCTTCACTGTACAGATGAGGAAACAGAGGTTCAGCCACTGCCCAAGGTCACCAACCTGGGGAAAGGCTGTGGTTTATGAGCCCACCTGCAGGAATAAAAACTGCAGGGTGGATGGGGTGGAGGAGAATTTGTTGAATCTGTCGCCTCTGAAAAGAGTTAGGAAGATGGGAGAGTTCCCCCCTCCCCACACCTGGCAGCCCAAGAAGGCCAGAAGATGAGCATGCTCATCTCCCTGGGGCAGAAGGGAGACCGAGGATAGACTGTGTCCCGGAGGGCCTGGCTGTGCCCCTTGAAGCTCAACAGTGAGGAGAATTCCCAACGAGGAGAGCATTATATGGTGGCTATGTCCTGCCCAGCAGACTTGCCATTCCCAAGGGAGGAATTCATTTCTTAGGCTTTATTGCAGGGTGAGGCCCAGGGATGGGCAGGGAATGGTGGCAATAAGGAGCTGCCTCCCTTGCCCCAACTCTTTTCTGCTGGTCCTGCAGAAGTCCTCTGGGCTTGGGACCACAGTGACCCACTGACCATCCCCTGATCCCCTGGCTTGTAGTCCAGACAAGGAGTGGCTTCCTTGCAGTGATGGCTGCCTTCTCCCCTCTGTTTGTGCAGCTGTGGGCTGCCCAGGGTTCTCTTTGAGCTTGTCAACAGCACCAGCAGGGAGGCAGGCAGGTCATTACCATGTGACAGGGAAGAACACTGAGGCTCAGGAGTGGGACAGGGACATAATTCACAGGCACTGAGTGCTTCCTCTGTGCCAGGCCCGGGTCAGCCTGGTCATTCAGCAGGATCATCTGGGGAGCTGGTTACAGATTCAGACGTGGGGCCCCACTCCAACCTATCGCACTGCCTGCATCGCTGACAAGTCCCCCTGGGGGTTCTGAGGCTGGACCAGTGCTGGCTGAGAACCTCTGGCCCAGCACAGTCTCCACCCCTTCACTGCAACCCTGACAGGTAGGCAGGAGTGGTGCCGAGGGCACTCCAGTCCCCAGACCATAATCTCCATCAGGACCCCAGGCATCCCTAAGAAACATTTATGCTTAGTAAGAACAATGTGCTTGCAGTGCCAAAGAAGCTTCCAGACAAATCCGCTGGCCAGCCTGTCCTTCAAGCAGAGTACAAACCCTTCCCGCCAAGGATTTTTGGACCCCCTGCAGGTGGTGTGGTCTCCTGGGTTTGCAGGTGAGGAAAGCAAAGCTTAGAGCGGCTAGACAACTTGTTCAAGGTCACGCAGTGAGTAGGTGAGGCTGGGATTGGATACCGAGAACACAGGCCTTGCTTGGGGTTCACGACAAATCCCCAAACACTGCCACCCCCCCTGGACCCTGGAGCCGTGGATGCAGGGGAGGGAGGGGACTGCGAGGCCCTGGGGGCCTGAGAAGCATACGAGGTTAAAGGTGTGGAGCTGAGGTCCTGGCAGTGGGGCGGCCAGGCTGTGACTGAGTGGTGGGAATGGCAGGCATAGGAATCCTTCACACAGCATCTGGCCTCCAGCCCAAGCAGGCTCAGCCCTAATAGGAAATCTCTTGGAGTTTCCGGTTAGGCACCTTTCGGCAAAGCAATTTCATATTTTTAGCCACTGAATATGCTGAGAAGCAGCTTAGGTATCCATGGCTGGGACTCCCCCATCCCTCACAAACCAGGGCAAGGTGGGGAAAGGGCAGGGCACCCCTGCCTCTAGCATGCCCACCTCCCACTGCCCTGCAATCAGTCCTGGCCTGGGCAGGGCAGCAGGCCCTCTGTTGGGGTCCAGTTCCCTTATAACTCAAGATGCCCCCCACCTGCCCTCCTTGCTCTGCTCCAATTCTTGCCCTGAGCTGGTGCTGACAGTCCCCACCCTGCCGGTGATTCCACTCCGGGTAGGTCACAGTCTAGCCTGCTTCCGACTTGCTGCTGAATCACTATCTCCCAGGGAGCCACAGGAAGGAGAAGGGGAGGGGAGGGAGGGCTAGTGTCTCCCTCTAGTGCAGCCAGAAGCTAATGTAATTGAAAAGTCCTCCCGGCCCGTGTCCTGACGTGGCCCCATCAGGCCACTTGGCCTTCTCTGCAACTGGTTGGGTGTGACTAAGACCACAGGTACAGTGACCAACCATCCTAGGCAAACTGGGACATGGGACATTCAGGGCTCAAACTGGGAAAGTCGCAGACAAACTGGGACAGTTCATCATCCTGTGGTCCACAGGTCAGGCCTGGCTGGGGGAATGGAGCGGGGCTCCTCCAACCCAGCACCACCCCTCTCCCCCACTTAAACAGGGACTCCTGACCCCCCAGGCCCCCTTGATATAGATAGTTCATTTCTTGATCTTTCCTCATAGGTTGATGCCAGCTGCCAAGTGAGGGCAGGTTCTGGAAACAGACAGATTCCCGTTCAACTCTGCGCTACCTGCTAGCTGGGTGGTCATCTTGGGCTACTTCCTTTCCCTCCTGAGCCTCGATTTCTCTATCTGTAGAATGAGGGTAATAACCATACCAACCCCTTAAGATTTGGGGAAGATGAAATGTACAGTACACGCAAAGGGGTTCGCAAAGTGCCTGGCATAGAAAATGCTACATAAATTGTCTTTGTTGTTATTCTTTCACACCTAGACATGACCCCACCTTGGTTATTACCCAAATGGCAAAGGCCTGTTTAAACCTGGACCCTGCAGAGCCCCCTAAAACAAAAGGAAGGGGCTTCTTCTAAAGGACCTCAGCACGCGTGATGCCGGCAACACAGTGCCGAGCAGGGGTGATTCCAGCCCCATTTTCAGAGTTTTGGTCTCTGTCAAATGCTATCCACTGGGAAAAGCCTGCTTCTGCAACGAAACGTTTGCACAGGGCTCGTCTGGCCACAGTCGTATTTTCAGGGTGACACTGACCCATGGGAATTGGTGTGCTGTGGACTCCTTTAACCTCCTTTAACCTCCCAAGGAGCGGCCAGCTCTTAGAGCCCCAAACCAAGAGACGTAAAGGGCCCTGCGTCTTCAGGCTAATGGCACCCGAAGTCTCAGCTTTCCTTTTGTTCTTTTTTCCCCTTTCATTTCTCTTGGTGAAACATGCTGCGCTCCTTGCCTGACATTCTAGTGAAGGGGCTGGTGTTGGAGACAGCAAAGAGGGAGAGGCTGGAGGGAGGGGTGGGAAAGACATTTAACAATTCCTGTGTGTTGGCCACCTGCTTTTCCACATGCCTCCCCACCCTCTCCCAGGCAGACATTTGACCTTCAGGGCTCTGAAGAAGGCAATAGTGTTAATCCATTTTATGGATGAGGAGACTGAGGTCCTGAGGGCTTACGTGGCTCACCCAGGCTCATGAAGCTAAACTTCCAGTCCTGACCCAGAATGCTCTCCACTCCCCACACTGAGGCCCCCTAGGGATTGGGCTGCAAG